ATTTCATCTGTGACGCTTTAGAGGCCGTGGTTAACTGCCCGCAGTTACCTGCGCTTTGAAGGATTAGAACCTAAAAATGGATTATGTGAGATCAAAGCAGAGGAGAAGAGATTTGAATCAGGCTGCCTGAGCATCCATTCCTGCGAGGGTTGGCATAGTTTTGTTCCTTCTATCTGGAAGGGCGAGGAAATCTGTGCAGAGTTTAGGAAAGACAACTCGATCCAACTGGGGCATGGGAAGCCTTATACGGAGTGAGGCTTTGTCTACACTGGCTGGCAGTGTCTCTGTAGGGATACAGAAAGCAGTCCCTCCCAGCCCTAACTGGGGATCGAACCAGGGACCTTCTGCACACAAAGCGGATTCTTTCCCAGTGAGCTGTGGCCCTTGCTCAATGCTTGCATCAGTACCTCAGAAGAAAGAACCAGAGTGTCCCTAGATCTCCTTGTACATCTCTGAACTCATACCTGTCAATGCTTATCCGTTATATGTGCTAACAAAAGTACTCATTTAGAGATCTTTACCGAAAACAATTGTGCACCACCAACACTTCAAAAAAGAATAAAGGTGAACAGCATTACGGTTAGCTTAGAAATCTTGCCTTGCTTATTACTGCAGGGGAAATAACCAGTAAATGCCGATATTACCTTAGCTAGTGTAAGGGAATTAGCAAGAAGCATGCGGTAGAAAAACGTTTATTTGAGCAAAATGGCCAACAGAAAGTGAAAATTGCTTTTCAGCTTGAAACACCAGCACAGAGATGTGAAATAGTAAAATGATAAAGGTGATTACAACTTATACAGGCTACCATTCCCCCTGGGGCCATAAACTTAAACTGCTTGTGGTATAAATCTATAATATATAGGCAGAGAGATGCCTTATATAGACTTATTCAGGTGTTTCCCCCACCACCACCCATTTAAACTGGGCAAATTGTTTTAATGATTGTTGCTGTTATGTATACAGTGTGTTACAAGCTATTGCGAAACACCCTAGACAGAAATCTAAGTAAATCAGAATTATGGGATGTTTAGGCCTTAGCTCAGGATAGGTTGTTATAAGAAGGCCTCCAAATAATTAGCTGTAGGGCAAAGATACAGAACCTGTGGCCCTCCAGATGTTGCTGGACTACAGCTCCCATCATCCCATGCTAACTGGGGCTGATGGGAATTGGAGTCCAAAAGCATCTGGAAGGTCAAAAATACCTCCCTCTTCCCCTAGTGGAGGCTGGTCCACTGCTGACCTCTCTATATAACCAGTCAGGTGGTGGCTCTGTGTCATGGACTGGCTGGATGCAAGGAGAGATGGGAGGCACCAGTTGGGGAACCTCCAAGGAAACCCGGCTCTGAGCCAGAGGATTGGTGGTGGAACAATGATGAGCGGTCAGAGAGAGAAGAGGGAGCAGACTGAGTGGAGGTGGTGTTGGAAGCTGAAGAGGCAACAGGGTTTAGTGAGCAGGACAGGGCTGTGGCAGAGAGCAGTCCAGAAGCAGAGGCAGAAGCTGAGGTGGGTCAAGAGGCAGAGATGAGGCAAGCTGCTGAAGAAGCCTAGGAGTCTGCCCCTCTTACTGCAACCAGCTTTCCTCCCAGAAGAAGTATGAAGAGGGCGGAACAAAGAGAGACAAGACAAATGAGAGTGAGGCTGCTGGGGAAAGGAAGCAAGGGAGGAGGAGACTTAAGGAGCAGTGGGAAGGTGGGGATCTTCAGTCCTTGCAAGTGCCTCATCGGGGCAAGACCTATTGGGAAGAGTACCAATGGGTGCTAGCCACCACTGCCTGGAAGGGGTGGTGGGCATCAGTTCTTTAGAAAAAGAAAAAAAGTCAACATAACCAGCCCTTCCCAAGAGATTGCGTCATTTATAGACATATTCTCAGCAGAGCTGGAGCTTTTCGTAGCCAAGGAGCCCTCGCAGGGCGGGCAGTACATCGAAAAAGCACCTCTCTGCATCCACCAAATAGATGATCCTTGTATAACCATTTAGTATTCACTGTGATCGTGTTGATTATGATGAACTAATTAGCTGTTAAGTGATGTGATAGGTATTTTTAATAGGGAATTCATTCTAATTCCACAGTAATGAATGTACTGTTACTTTTAAGTGCTATTTGTTTATGCATATGAGTCGATGGAGGAGAGGGGGGGAAACACGGCGGGCTCCTATGCTCCAACAAAGCAAGGAAATAATTGTGATTTGTCTCCGAGGGATGATAGCATCTTCATAATTAGAAATGTCAAAAAAGCAAGTTTGCTGTTAAGATTATTGGTCTGGCAAGATAGCTATCCTTGTAAATTAGATTCCATATCGCTGTATCTCGCTTGTACATGTCGCGTACCAGCGTCCTGGTTATTAGGCGCTGATTTGTAAAACACAAAAATGATTTCAGCAATTGCTTATGACTATGAAATCCTAAATGAAGAGAATTATATTTTGTTTTGATGTTTTGTTTTTTTAAAAAAAATTAAAATGCATAAACAGCTACTTTGCCGGTGCATTCTGGTTCCATATAGAATGCAGTTTGCATACGACTAGATAGTAGCCAGGAGAATATTCAAATAACAAAAATGACTGGCATGCTGATCAGACTCCCTATACCTGTGAAATGCAGGTTGAAGAGGTTAGTTTAGAGACCATAGAATCATGGAATTGTAGAGTTGGAAGGGATCCTAAGGGTCATCATCCCTAACCATTGGCCATCCTGTCTGGAGTGATGGGAACTGGGGTCCAAAACAACTGGAAGGTACTACATTAGCTATCCTTTGATTTAGACCAGGGGTCAGCAAACATTTCAGCAGGGGGCCGGTCCACTGTCCCTCAGACCTTGAGGGGGGCCGGAGTATATTTTGAAGGGAAAAATATGAACGAATTCCTATGCCCCACAAATAACCCAGAGATGCATTTTAAATAAAAGCACACATTCTACTCATGTAAAAACACACTGATTCCCGGACCATCCATGGGCCGGATTTAGAAGGCGATTGGGCTGGATCCGGACCCCGGGCCATAGTTTGCCTACCCATGATTTAGACTTTCTCCATGCCCCCCGGATCGTGTAGATTAAGAAAATCAGAGATTCACAAATTGGGCTAGCCACATCGCCCTCCACATTAGTTGACTGGATTTCTGCCGTTTCCCCTTTTTTGCTGCAGAGAATCACACAAAGTGCATAACCAGACAGGCTGAACAGATGCTGCCACATTTGGACCAATTGCATTTCCAGGCCCAGTTCAAAGTGCTGGTGTTACCCTTTATCGCTGTAACCAATGGAAGTTGAAAAGCATTTCATGCGTCATATCCAATGCTAGTCCTCCTCAAAAGTAGTCCCATTGAAATTAATGCTTTTAGATGTTTCCAGTCAGTATAATGGGTCAACCTTGAGTGGGCCTAGCATTGAATACAATCCCATCAATCGCAATTTGTAGCAAACGTAGATTTTATAAAGCATTGTGAAAACTTCAAAGGAAAGGCAGAGGTGATATTTATAAGGAATATTGTCTTTTCCAGATATTCTGCTTTGATTAGCAGCTATCTTGTCTCTTATCCATGACTCTAGAAGATGCTTTAAAATCATGCTTTGAGGGTGGTGGGAGCAAGGATCCTGGAAGAAAAAGAAAACCACAACATTATAAAGAAAGACATAAGTACTGGTAGTGCAGTGGCAGAAGGGATCATCTAGAAATCCCCCAGAGGCAGAATAGCGGCTAGTCTGGAAAAAGATTCAGCCCAAGAGGTGAAAACAGTGATTGAAAGCAAGTGAGTAGGAGGGTGTGATAATGGTAAGATGGCTTCTGCAATTGTTGCTCAAGCTGAGTAGCTGTTTTGTCGCCTGTGTTGTACTGTTGAAATCAATTATGCTAATTGTGTGAATAAGTGCTATTAAAAATAACAAAGGGTTGCAGAATTTAGCCCTACCCTGTGGTTCCAGTAATGCAGCTATAATGATCATTTATTGGCACAATCTAAATAGTGTGTGGATCTGCAAAAGGAACGGCGTTCTGCTATGCCTGCTACCCATTTATCTTCGATAAGTGAGGTACACAATGCAGCTGCGTAATGTGTCAGTAGGCAGAAACATTCTAGTATGCATTATATGTTAGAGCATAAGAAGCTTGCCTTTAGACCAAGTCAGACCCTTGGTCCATCTAGCTCAGTGTTGTCCACACTGGCTGGCAGAAACTCTTTAGGGTTTCAGACTGGGGACATTCCCAGCCCTACCTGCAGATGTCAGGCATTGAACCTGAGACCTTCTGCACTCCCTTCTGGAGTCTTTGAATGTAAAGGATAGGATGTTGTCCTGAATGTGGTCCCACTTCTGACATCCTGTTGCCTAATTCATGCAGGTGTGGGTAATGCATAGCTGTCATCTTTGCCCTTTTTTAAAGAGAAATTCCCTTATTCCGAATAGGTTTCCTCGCAAGTAAAGGGAAAAATTGACAGCTATGGGGTATTTTAGCATGCGTGTCAACAGGGGTTTATAGCACTCCCTAGCAGGGTCCTTAAAAAAAACTCCACAGGCCTGTTGCAGTATTTCTGCTAATCCAAGGGGAAGAAGATGGACAGAACCAGCTAGGTTGTACTTTATGGGACAGCACATAGCTAAGCCGCTTGCCTCCTGATTGCAACACAAAACTCACCAACTTCTATTTTGATGTCTTAACTTTCAGCACAGATATCAAAGGAGTTCAAGGTGGCATTCATGGTTCTCCCCTTCCTCATTTAATTCCCTCAACAACCCTGTGAGGTAGGTTAGGCTGAGAGGCAGTGACTGGCGCAAAGTCACCCAGTGAGCTTCATGGCTGAGTGAGGATTTGAACCCTGGTTTCCCAGGTCCAAGTCTGACACTCTAATCACTGCTCCACACTGGTTGAAAACATTCCAAAGTATAGTACATAGCAGTTTATGGAAGGCCACTGAGGCCTTTAGCAAAGGTAGGAATCATAGAATTGTAGATTTGGAAGGGGCCACGAGGATCATCTAGTCCAGGCATGTCCAACCAGTAGATCTTTTGCCCCACATCAGGCTCGAACCCACAGCCCTGAGATTCAGAGTCTCACGCTCTACTGACTGAGCTAATAGGGACTACAGATCTTTTCTTACTCAACCAAGCACATGCTGTTATCATTGTATGTGGCGCAAGTAAATGCTGCATAGGGGGTTATTGATCATTTAAATGTTATCCCCAAACGTACACCTCAGCTTCTAAATATTAATAAATAAAAAACTGTTAAGAGTAATTGCAATCCTGCTGATTCTCAACAACCAATTGTTTTAGCTCTATTATTATCTGCCTGTTCTTTAAACAATTTAGAAAGAAAAATGCAATTTTATATCGATCTTTTTTTCTTGTTCCATTAAAAGGAATTGATTTGCTTCCCTTGTATAGCATCAAGCTGAAATTAACCTGACATTCACTGCTTGAGAAAAGAAGGCATCTTTTGAAGAGGTTGGGGCCCCCATAGTGGTGTTGGTGGGTGAGAGATTCAGGAACATGCTTTTGTTCACTACAGGAAACTTTCAGGCTGATCCCAAGACTCACTGCGCTGGGAGATGAAATGCTAAGAATAAACTCTATTGAACACTCTCCTAGCGTAATCTCACCCAGACATGATGACATGCAAATGCTGCCTCTAGGGGTGGGAGAACCCCTCAATTTTGGTTTCTCTCCGTTTCTTATTTTTTCCCCAACCATAAAGTTCTCCACATTTCCACATCAGTTTGTGATTTAAAAGAAGAAAAAGCCTCATGAAAATTGATCAGCTTTGTAGTGTGACTGTCTCCTGGTGTACACATGACTTTATGTGTACAAAGCAATCTCCTCTAATCTAAAAAAATCTTTGTGTGTTATTTTCACTAAAATATGCATTTATTGAGCACATTTTGTACCCTTTCCTGGCTGGTGAACTGCATTGCAAACTTCAGATGTTTGTGTGCCTTCTGAAGGACGGCTGTATTTTGACTCTGGTATTGTAGATGTGCTTTCGCACACAAACATTCTCCTCCATTCCTAGTTATTGTTGCAATATTGTTGCCCGTAAACACACAGAAGCCAAATCATAGGATCTGGGTGCCAGATTTGACCACTCCAGTGGCATTTTGGTCACTGAAAGTTTATGATCAAACAGCCACTTCTTGTAATGTAGTCAAGTTTCGTTTTGGTTTGTTTGGCTTGCTGGTTTTCTACTTGTTTCTGCCAAGCTATTCCCACTTGCCCCACGCGCTCACTTCAGCTGATCACTGCTGCTTTGCCTACGCAGGTAGATTTCAAATGGGTCACCTGGTGTCATTGCAAACATCAGGTGATGGAGAGGTGGGAAGCCTTGCCCAACAGGGAATGGGGGAAGATAAGGATCAGGCCCACAAACAGAATCCATGATAATTCTCATTGGGAATATTGCACACAGGGAGGGGAGGTTGAACTCTCCCCCCCCCCCATGCTACTATTAGAAAGGGGAGTTCTCACTGGCTCCAACTTCTTTTTTAAAATGCTAGCGTGATTCCAAATGGCATGCTCAATGTCACATGGAATCACTCATTTTTAGGACTCATTCAGATCTAGCACTAAACAAGTGGGACTGGGCAATAAACGATGGTTTGTTAAAACAAGAGAGCTTCATAAACCATCATTTAGCACCATATCCAGACAAGGTCTTAACACTGGCCAGTGTATATTATATTTTAGTAGCATGATAAAACCCCTTTTCAGAAACCATCTTTCTGAGAATGGTTCATCCTCCTCCATTCAATGAATATTTTCTAACGTTTCCTAAGCTAAAATGCCTCATATGAAAGAACAGAAATTACAGGGGTCTCTGATGTCCTGCTTTAAAAGATATTGGTTTCTCATTGAAAAAACTGTTACTCCCAAAAACAAACACCCAACCCATCAAGGAAGAGAAACCTGTACCTCTCCAGATGTTGGGCTTCATCAGCCCCAGCCAGCATGTGTCAGGGGTGATGTGAGTTGGAGTCCAACCACATCTGGAGGACCAGAGGATCTCCATCCCTTATACATCAGGTCCCACTGTGGGATCTCACTTGAATCTAGAGTTCAGTGACTCTTAACCGAGCAGGCTGGCATCATGCACCCTAAAGTGAAATACGTTGATCTCTTCCTAATGTAGGGGAACAACCATAGCTCAGTGGCAGAGCACACACTTTTTGTGCAGACAGGCCCAGGTTCAGTCACCAATATCTCCAATCAAAATGGTGCTCCTCAAACATTTTGAAGTGGGAACCACCTATAGGCTTAATTAATCTTCTGAACTTTGTTTTTCCTGTTTATAACAGAAAACACAGAATTATTACATTAGATTACTAGCACAAGACAATTTTATATTTTATTTTATAAAATAAAATAAAAAATGTCCAGTAGCACCTTAGAGACCAACTAAGTTTGTTCTGGGTATAAGCTTTCGTGTGCATGCAGATACACTGAAACAGAAGTCACCAGACCCTTATATATAGTGGGAGGGTGGGGTGGTGTTTTTCTCAGAAGGGTAGTAGGAGATGGGTGATTGACTCAATGGGTATGGTAAACCTGTTGATGACTGTTAATGACTATAATTAGTCCTACAGGGAAAAGCAAGGGATAGTACAGTGGTATCTCAGGTTACATACGCTTCAGGTTACAGATTCCGCTAACCCAGAAATAGTGCTTCAGGTTAAGAACTTTGCTTCACGGTAAGAACAGAAATCGTGCTCTGGTGGAACAGTGGCAGCAGGAGGCCCCATTAGCTAAAGTGGTGCTTCAGGTTAAGAACAGTTTCAGGTTAAGAACGGATCTCCGGAACGAATTAAGTACTTAACCTGAGGTACCACTGTATGCAGATGACCAAAAATAGCTTTAGCATATGTAATGAGACAAGAATCCAATATCTCTATTCAGACCAGGTTTCTCCATAGTTTTCAGTTTAATAATAAGTTACTAAACTTTAGCATGCACACAAAAGCTTATACCCAGAACAAACTTAGTTGGTCTCTAAGGTGCTACTGAACATTTTTTATTTTTTTTAAATTTATTTCTACTGCATCAGACCAACACGGCTACCTACCTGAATTTATAGTTTGTTTTTTCATTAATAATGTCTCTCTGTGTGTTTGTACGTACATACATATTGTATCTATTTACACGTTTTATATTTATTGTGCCTACTTAATACATTTACTTTGTACAAAGATACAGTTCAAGGCTACATTCACATGGAAATTTATTCCCTTTTCTTGATGTTTCCCTTATTACAATATGAACTTTCCCATCACCTAAAATCCACTTCCATAAATAGAACGGAATATAACACAAGTTTTGCAAATTTCTGTGTTATTTCCAGAAAAAAAATTCATTTGCAAATAGCACAGAAAATGGAGCATTAAACTTGCACTGCATTCCGTAGTATTTCCAGAAGTAGCTTTTACGTTGTGTGAAAGCTCAAAGTTCATGGCAAAACCCAATCCAAATGAAGAGATTTCCTCCTCTCTTTTGAGATCCTTCTGAGTTCTTTTGCAAGGCAGAGTGGGGTAAGACTATTTTTCCTTCTTAATTCAGAAATACTAAGTTCTGTCATTCTTGTTTTTATTGGTGTTGCCCTTGGGAACAGATTGCTAAGGATGATAAATTGAAGAAATTGAGGCTATATAAATAGAGATTTATTACTTGCCTGTCTAGTTTGTCTGTTTTCTAAAAATGAATCATTTCCCCCCCTCAAAAAAAAAATAGGGGATCAACTAATGATTTCCAAACTCTCCAGTGTGCCCTCAGAAAATGTTTGCTACTGCTTAAGTCTGATTCATCTTTTTCTGGCACTCTAATAAAATTATAATGCTGTGGGTTGCTGTTGTTTTCATCTGTGCATAGAAAATTCCACTCTCAATTTTGGTAGCCCTAATGCTGGAATAATTTGGTTTGAGGATCACCTCCGAAAAATTCAAGGCTAAATGGGGGTGGGGGAGAGAGAGAGGAAATGAATATATGTATTTGAAAAGAGATTACCAGGTCCTTGAAAAATACAGAGCCACAACTATTTTGCAGATCACTTTAAATCACTCCTCCCCTGAGATGGATGACAGCAGAATGAGGTACACAGGAGGAGAAAAATTGACCCAAATCCTTATTCTGTGCATATCAGGAAAGCTCTAGGGATTTTGGTGCAAAAGCAGCAACCGTTTGCAACAGCTGAGAGAGTGGCGAATTTGTGAGAGGGAAGTAGTGATATCTTTGCTTTTCTAAGCCTAATTTTAGACTCGCCCAACCATGTGCACACACCTCGTCAGCTCCCTAGCCAGCTAGCAACATAAAGCTTCACATTCCGTTAGGTATTGCATGGAGTTTGCCAGCTAGCCTAATGGATCTTGCTCGCCCATAACGGCCGCCTTGCTAAGCATTCAGTAACTGACAGCTTCCTCTCAGAGATTGGAATACTTGTGAACATTCCGTGACATTTCTGTTACATGACCTCAGCTAAGGTCTTCATGGGAGTCCTCCCCCCGCCCCATTTTCTTACTTCCCATTTAAAGGCAGCATGAGAGGGAATAGCAGGGGAGGTAAGAGCCTTCCTAGCAGTGTTCAAAATTCTTCCTGATGTATAATCGGAATCTCCTTTCTTGTAACTTGAATCCATCGATTCAAGTTCCACCCTCCAGATCAGAAGAAAGAAAGCTTGCTCTGTCCTCCATGTGACACACCTTTAGATATTTAAATGTGCCTCTTGTGACTCCTCACAGTCTCCTCCAATCCAGGCTGAACATACCCGCTCCCTCAACCGTTCCTCATAAGGCTTGTTTTCCAGACCCTTGGTCTGCACACGTTCCAACCAGATGCCTCTGCTGTTGGATTCCAGCTCTTGTTTTTCTTTATTTTAATAAATGTATATACAGTGGTACCTCGGGATGCGAACGGGATCCGTTCCAGACGGCGCGTCTGCACGTTGCGTTTTGCTGCGTCCACGCATGCAAATGATGTCATTTTGAGAGTCTGCGCATGCGCAAGCGGCGAAACCCGGAAGTAACGGACTCCGTTACTTCCGGGTTGCCACGGATCGCAACCCGAAAGTGCTCAACCTGACGCACATTCAACCCGAGGTATGA